ATTTCATGTCATGGTTATTGTGACTGTGACGAATCCACATCCTCTAACTTTGCGCGCCACACACACATTCCTGTTATACTGTGTTTGTGAGGACCAATACACTCGCGCTGAGCAAAGTAGCTCAATTAACTTAAAACACACAAGCTGTCCTGGTTACCTGCTGGCGTATTGAGGGTGCACACTTAATATTTAAGTGGGGTTAGCCGTGTGTGTGTGTGTGTGTGTGTGTGTGTGTGTGTGTGTGTATGTGTGTGTGTGTGTGTGTGTGTGTGTGTGGGTATGTGGGGGGTGTGGGTGTGTACGTGTTTATGCTATGGGGACTTGTCATCTTCAGTCTGGCTGCGTCTTTGCTGGGTTCAAACCCAGTTTGGTGTAATTGAATAAGTCAATGAATCTGTGTAAAATAATTAAGTTGTAAAAATTATTTGTTTTTGTACATCAATTGTTTGTGGAGGTAATATATGGACAAAACGGATTTATGAGAAGAAATCAGAAATAAGAGAGCCTGAGGTGAGGGGCTTAAACTATTTAATGAGGGCTGTGGGAAGAAAAGCGGCAATTTTTGTTTTCTGTTTCTTTGTTACATTGCTGGTAACTGGAGGGAGGCTGAGGCCCAGAGTATCTTATGTTTAGTTTCTTTTGCACCCTGTTTTGAGTTTTTGAGCACAATAAATCACCAACACTGGTAACCCGACTGAGCCTGGATTCTTGGAGGCCAAAGAAACCCGTCACAGTGACCCAAATCATCACTGTTACTGTTATTATATAGTAAATTAAATCATTACTGTTAAATTGTATGTATTGTCCAATTGTTTATTTGAATTCTTATTCCGGATTAGTTGGAGACATTCACTAGGCTATATCAGCCCCACCAAAAATATTTTTCACCAGCCGCCACTGGTGCCTGCCTGTCTGCACCTGATCCTGTCTGCTCCTGTGCGTGACCACCTGGTCATGCTTCTTGTCCCAGTCAGACTCTGAACCCTCCTGGAAGCCTGTGGATGCCTGGAAGTCTGGATCCTGCCACCTGTTTCTGTTCCTGCCTGATCTGGATCCTGTCTGTTTCTGTCTGTTCCTGTCTGTTCTGGATCCCTGACCAGGATCAGCTTCCAGCATAATCTCTGGGACTGCAGCACTGGGGACACTCGTAGTCTGGACTGTTAAACCAGGTAAGTGACCAACACAGATAATCTTATATCAGTTTATCGTGGTCACTTACCTGTGTTTCCTCCCTAGAGTGTCTGAGATTGGGCGGTGCCCTGCCCCCCCGCCTGCAGTGTCCGCGAGCCACAGCTCCGCTTTGTTTTGTTTTGTTTATTTAATAAACTTGTTTGAACTTTCCTTCTGACTGTCTCTCCTTGAATACTGGGTCCATCTGTCCGCATTTCATGACAGAATGATCTGGCCAAAGAAGGACCCATCGGGGGACAGTCAGTAGGATAGTTTTGGTTTTTCTTTTCGGGTTTGTTTTTCGGCTCTGTTCTGACATGCGGGAGGTTCTGTTAGTCTGTGTTTTGGGTCTGTGTCTCCCGATGTCAGAAGCCCATGTTCTGTTTGGGTTTTTTTTTTCCTCTATGATCTGTGTCTGGTCTTGACCCCCACCCCCCCTACCCGCCCTGCTTGGTTTACTTTTTTTTTTCGTAGTGTTTGGGCGTCTGGAATCCGCCCTTAAGGGGGGGGGGGGCTCTGTCATGATCTGGCCTGTTTGCTCCTCCCTAATTAGTAATTCCTCTCACCTGCCCTTTTCCCTCCCTGCCTCAATTATAATTCATTCCTCTCACCTGTTTCCTCTGGTTTATATTCAGTTCAGCCTGAGCATTCAGTGCCAGATCATTGCTTGTCTTTCTGTCAGTCTTTCTGTTCTGTTTTATTTTATGGTTCATGTCCTGGATCCTAGCTGCCAGTGGAAAGAGGGTTTCAGTGTTTGTCTCGTCTCCTGATCGTCCACTGTTCGTCCCCCACGGAGTCCTCTGGGTTTTTGGCTCATTATGGGGGAGGGTTCAGTTTTTATCCAGTAAGCCTGGCTCCAGGGAGGAGACCAGTTTAAACTCCTGCTTCAAGTTCCGGTTCCTACCTCCTGTCTTGGCTACCCTCTTCCACTGTGCCTGCCTGTCTGCACCTGATCCTGTCTGCTCCTGTGCGTGACCACCTGGTCATGCTTCTGCCTGTGGATGCCTGGAAGTCTGGATCCTGCTACCTGTTTCTGTCTGTTCCTGCCTGATCTGGATCCTGCCTGTTTCTGTCTGTTCCTGTCTGTTCTGGATCCCTGACCAGGATCAGCTTCCAGCATAACCTCTGGGACTGCAACATTGGGGACACTCGTGGTCTGGACTGTTAAACCAGGTAAGTGACCAAAACAGATAATCTTATATCAGTTTATCGTGGTCACTTACCTGTGTTTCCTCCCTAGAGTGTCTGAGATTGGGCGGTGCCCTGCCCCCCGCCTGCAGTGTTATGAGGATTTATTTTAGGTTTTTGTAGTTTATTTTGGTGAAATTCTGTCCAGATCAGTTCTCTAGAGACACATCTGGCACTAGACTTGACCTGGAGGTACAGCCCAGCCAGTATGCTCTGCTGGGCCTCATGTGGGTTTCAGTAGGGCTACATGGGTAAGGGGTGGGCATGGGCTTGTACTGGACAGCCTCTATGAGGTCTATGTAAAATGTGCTATATGAGGCCAATGCAGCAAACCGATATTGACTACCCAAATGGGATCTATAAAGAGCCCATGTATTTTGCATGGGCAAAGGTTACAAGGTTTATGCGACCCATACTCATTGTCCAGATAGGTCCCATGTAAAGCCCGGGTAGATCCCAGTTAAGGCCCAGATGGGCAAAACATGTGTTGCCTTAATGAAACCTGCAGAGAAACCCATTTGCAACCCATATTTAATCCAGATATTTAACCTATGTAGAATTGCTGGCTGGTTATCAACTTAGCATGTGTTAAAATACATAGCTCATATCAAGAGTAGCCCACACTAACAGTAAGTAGCCCTGCCAATTATAACATAGTAGGGATTTTGAAGATAAATGCAGATACATTTCATGCTATGTTTTGTTGTTATGTTAGCAGATTTGTCATTACTGTTTAACAGTATCTACATTGATAGTCAAGGATGGAGATAATAGAAGCTCAGGTCTGCTTTTATTTATATGCCATTACTGGCCATTCACACTGAGCCTGGTTCTGCTGGAGGTTTCTTCCTGTTAAAATTGAATTTTTCCTCTCCACTGTCGCTACAAGCATACTTAGTGTGAGGGATTGCATTCGAGTCAATGAGTCGATGCATTCAACTGGTTTTCCTTAGATACAATACTTTGAATCAATTTGACTGTATGATCTGGTGAACTGTAAATTGCCTTGAGATGACATGTGTTGTGAATTGGCGCTATATAAATAAACTAAATTGAATTGAAACTGAATTATACACTCTACGTAACACCGGCTGCAATAAATATCATGTCACAGCAATTTAGAAATAAGAAACTGTCAATTCAGTCACTGAGAATTTGTAACAAAAAGTTCTGATCCTAAAACTTGCATTGGGTCCAATTTAAAAGAAATCCAAGAAAAGTGTTCTTGCAACAAATCATGAAAACATCTTCAAAAGCATTCATTTTAATTTATCTTTTTTTTAAATGTATTATATGTTTATTTGTGATTTTAATGACTTTAATTACCCTTTAAAACCCCCTATGAAATTGTACCATTACTTTGTAAATTGGGCTTTATTGTGACCTGTAGTTAGATTAAATGTTTGAATCATTGAAGGTTAGGGTCAGTGACGTTTTCAAAGACATCAACAAAAAAAATTAAGTACATCTACTCGCTTAATTAGTGCTGTGCCAGAGGTACATCTTAGGCTGGGTTTAGCCAAGTTTCAGCCTCATGGTGCGTCCTGCCTCGTGTAATAAACAGGGTGTAATGAAGGGTGATTAGCCTCTCATGACCACATCCCAATCAGGAGTGGTAAGGTCGGGAGAAAATCAAACATCTTCTTCTTCTTCTAGATTGAGAAGTCCGACCAGCGACATCTCTCGGCGCTGAGTCCAAAGTGTGGATATACAATGTGCACAGGTGCATTGGATTGTACAATGTAAGAATATGCATCATGAGCTGGAAACTTTTAAACTCTGAGGTTTTGTTGTACAGTTTGAGCTGTAGCTGAGTACAAGATTGAAAATATTGTGCAGCGTATGCCGGGCTTTAAAAACAACAATAGATACAACAGGATCAAATGCAGAAGCACATTGAACGTCTGTAAAAGTTATTAAACAATACAGATATGCAAAGATTACAAAAGGATCATGACTGTGGTTGGATACTATAGACATTTGTTTTGCATTGATATAATTAAAATTCCTGGAAGTACCTTTTAAATGTTTTACCAATAACCAAGTTGTTCAATGTCAAAAAGCCAAACACTGAGTTGAACAGGCAGCCTTTGGTGTTAGAAATGGTTGTCACTTGTTTCTGTCTTGGCACAAAACATATTTAGCCAAGCAGAGGCTTCAATAGGCTGTTTTTAAAACACAGATAAGAGGAGTGGCAAAGTGAATTAAGGGAGGTTGTCCAAAACTTCCCTTATGCACAAAGTCTACCAGGCAAAGATTGTCTGTCACCATGGCAGTTCTTTCTTCAGCCAACTTTTTTCCTCCTGATAAGATAGAGGAATTCCCAGCTCTTTGACACAAATATCTTGCATGGGAATTTTTGTCGCTTAAATCATGCAGACTGTTAGGAATCTCACATATTTATTTTGTATGTTGCCATTATTGGACCATCTCCTTGGTGCTGAGGGAACTAATCAGAGAAGAATGCTCTTTTACTGTGTTATCAGCAGCTGCTCTTAAGAAGGAACAGGGATTTCTCCCCGGGTTTAAAATGGATCCTCAGAACAAGAGAGATGTGAGTGTGCCAAGTGACTCATGTCAAGTTGATTTCCTTATCTATAAAAGATGGGTGGTTCTTTTACTGAGGCTCCATTCTGAGTAGGGCAGCCTGCAGAGTTAGCAAACATGAGGCAACAGAGGGGGACATGAGACACTCTTCAGTTAAAGGAACTAATCGAGGATTAAACAGATGCAGTTTGTAGGAATAACAGAAACTAATAGGATCTACAACAGGTAAGGTACCACATCGTGGGAGAACCAGAAATTCTTCAAGCTGTCAGCAAGTCTATATGTTTCAGTGGTTCAGAGGGAAAGTTGGGACCGCTACCTCCAGGCCTTGCGCCTTTTCCTTTTTTAAAGATACTTACACCACCAGGACACCATGACAGAGTGGACTTTACTCAAACGTCTTCTTGATGCTGTCCACCATCACTCCACCATGATCGGACGCCTGTGGCTCACTGTCATGGTCATCTTCAGGTTGCTCATTGTTGCTGTTGCTACAGAGGACCTCTACACGGATGAGCAGGAGATGTTTGTGTGCAACACACTACAACCGGGATGTTCAACAGTGTGCTATGACACATTTGCTCCCATCTCACAGCCTCGGTTCTGGGTGTTCCACATAATCAGTGTCTCCACTCCCTCCCTTTGTTTCATCATTTACACGTGGCACAACCTGTCCAAGCAGTCCCAGAACAGCTCTCAGAAGCTGGGGAAAGGACAGAGGCATGGACGCCCTGCTGGAGAGCAAGCAGAAGGAAAGGAGGACTTTGACTGCAGCTGTGACTCCGACAGTTGCTCAATCCAATCCCATAAGCATCTAGGTCACAGCCTAGCAGATGTGTTGAAGGACCTCGTTCCCCCAAACCTACAGAAGAAAGACCTCGTCAACATAGTGCCCTTAAAGCAGGCCCAAGCAGGCTCCTACAAAGAGGGCTCTGTTTTGGTTCAAGTGGCCTCTTGTGGAGTTCTGTCCAAATGTTACATTTTCCATGTGTGTATACGGACCATCTTGGAAATTGGCTTTGTCCTGGCCCAGTGGAAGCTGTATGGCTTTCAGGTACCAGTCCAATTTATTTGCACTTCTTCCCCTTGCAGTCAGCCAGTGGACTGCTACGTGTCCAGGCCCACTGAGAAGACCATCTTCCTCCTCTTCATGTTCTGTGTCGGAGTTTTCTGCATTGTGCTCAACTTCCTTGAACTAAATCATCTGGGCTGGAAGAAGATTCGCCAATCATTAAAGCTAAGGGAGAACAAGTCCTGTAGCAGCTGTCCAGGTATCCAGAGTGGATACAAACCTTTTCCTCTAGACAGCCCATCTCTAACACCTTCTTTTGGCTTCAGAGAAGTGGCCAGCAGCAGCTCTCTCCCTACTGTGGAGTGTGTGGAGGGTCAGCAGCCTGAATGGAGATGTGCTCTGAACTTTAAGGATGTGGAAGTGGAAGTCAGACCAGGACAAGCAAAGAAAACTAACTCACAGAGAGCAGAAAGGAGCAAGAGGGAGAGTGGAATGTGCAAGCAGAGGAATGCTGAGGTCTGGATATAGACTAACTACAATCAAACATGTTGCTGCCGTTCTTCAGGATGAAAATGGGAAAAGATGGAACATCAGAAAGCTTATTTAAATAAGTTAAACAAAAAATCATTTAGATCTTACTTAATGCTTTCCTAATTTTATGACATTCTAATGATGTCTAATGGCTGGGAATGAGTAAAGCTGACATGGTCAGTTTTAGGTCCCTTCACCAACATTGTTATACATCCACTTTCTCTGGCATTTTTGGACCGAGGGCTTTTTAAGCCTTTGTGCTTCTACCCTAATCAGCCTGCAGTTTATGTAGGCGGAGGGACTGATAAAATCTTAAGCATGTGCTCCTTATAGCTTAATTTCAGATAAGTTTGGGATCATATATTTGTTTTTTTTTATTTTCAGCTCTGTTTATATAAGAAGATTTACGTCTCTTATTATTGTGATTAGTTCAGTTGTGTTAAATGTTTTTCTGTTTGTTTTTTTGTTTAGAAACATTGTATTTCTAGCAGTATTAAAGTTGATTTAGTATTTAAAAAAAACTCACTGAGATATAGCACCAAGTATTTTAGAGACAGAAACTTTAGAATCTTTACTTATCTGTAGGAAAAAAAAGTTTTTCAGTAAAGCATTGTAGGTTAACAGTTTAGAGCAGTTGGACCAAGGTAAAAAAAATAATAAAGACAGCTTTTCAATTTGTATTTACTTTTTTTTTTTTTGGTTTTGAAGAACCAGCCTTATATCAAGGATAACTGATGCTTTTGATATTTTGTGCATTTAAATGAAGTGTGCTCTAAATTTTTTTTGCTTCACCAAATGCATGCTGGATGCTGATGTTTTCAGAAGGCCAGTTTTCAGACTCATTCTATTGGCATAGATAACCTGCCAATAGAATGAGCATTTTTACCTTTAAATAAGATAATTAGATAATATGCACTTCAAATAAGACAATGTATAGTTTTTTTTCTTATTTTTAATCTATATTCTCTTGTTCCATTGGCAAAATGTCTCACTAACCTGCTAAATTCAAGCACCTGTTTTAAGAGAAAGAGACTTTGATTTAATTCAATTAAATTCAGTTTATTTTTATAGTGCCGATTCACAACACACGTCATCTCAAGGCACTTTACAATTCACTAGATCATCCAGTCAGATTCATTCACAGTTTTCTATCTAAGGAAAACCAGCTGATTGCATCGACTTATTGCCTCGAAGGCAATCCCTCACACTAAGCATGCTTGTAGCGACAGAGGAGAGGAAAAACTCAGTTTTAAAAGGAAGAAAACTTCAGCAGAACCAGGGTCATTGGGAGCGGCCATCTGCATAGATACAAGAAGCATAGATACAAAAGAAGGCGGCCTCGTCCAGGAAACACACAGCCGGGCAGACGAGCTGCAATCCAGCTCCCATGTCAGAGGATGAACAGAGCACATCCAGTTAGTCACAGTCAGAGAAACAGGACTACATTGAAAAAAGGGCAAGTTCCAACATCTATGAACAAAGGTGTTGATGGCAGCAGCACAGCTGATATTTACAGTTTTTGCAGTGTGGATACCATGACAAGAAAGAGTACATGAGCATGTTGCACGCAGAAACAGCTTTTATGGCAAGATGTTTTAACATAAATTCGGTTGTACCGCCTTTACATTCAAGATATCTCCAATTGTTTTATGACTAGACGTTTTAGCGATTTAAGACATCATAAATTTTATTTTGACTAGTCAAAATACCTATTCGAGATATCTCTAATTACATTCTGACTAGTCGAAATGACGTCAAATTGACCGTTAACTTGTATGGAGACGTCAATTTAAGATATCTAGAATGAATCACTGGCTATCTGAAATACACATTTCAGATATCTACAATTAAATTACGACTAGTCATAAAGTAAATTCAAGATATCTCAATTTTAGTTTTGACTAGTCATAATTCTAATTAAAGATATCTCAAATGCCAACGTAATTCAAGATATCTTAAATGTATTTTAGGATAGGAGATATGCAGTTTTGACTAGTGAAATCTAAATTACAGATATCTTAAAAGCAAAAATTGACTAGACAAAACAAATTTAAAGATATCTTGAATTGTAATTTTGACTATTCAAAATTCCTCTTAAGACATCTCTAAATGAATTAAAGATATCTTGAATTATTCAGCTTTTCCATTAAAGATATCTTAAATTGACATTCTGGCTAGTCAACATGATATCAGTGATATCTTGCCATACTTCAAAAACGTCTGAGATTTGCGTAGCATTTTGGCGGACAGGTGTTAGGCATGCTAGCTAATTGATTCTGCTATTCAGTGGTCCACAATGTCAGGTCAGTCCGCCTCAAATGCTCGTGTTTTTAACACTATATTCAGTGCTGCAACTCGTGCCTGACATGAATTAAGAAATACAGAGAATTTATTCTCTGCAACAAGAAGACTTTTTCAACGTCAAGTGCGAGAAGTCAAGGTAAGTGGATGGTCAGCTGTAGGTTCATATAACTGTAACTTTCCTGGCGAAGTTAGCTTAGTGCTAGTGGAATAATAATAATATTAATTAGGAAACTTTAAGTAGCCTAGAGTTGGCATCCGCCCTATAAAATATGGAATTGTCTATAAAATACGGAATAGTCCAGTATTGAAGCGATGTGAAGCGATTTGCTGAGTATTTGATTTGTTCCTCATTTTGCACCAGCGACAGGCGAGAGGCAGGGTACACCTTTGACATGTTGCAAGTCCTTCGTAGTCTTTGTTCATAATGAAAAATGAAATTATTGGCTTTCACATTTTAATTTCACAATTTTGATGATCAATATAATTTTTTGTATTTGATTTGTGAAACTTCTATAAGCACCTTTTTCAAAATGCTGGTTTCTTGTCGCTAGGGTTGCCAACTCCCTGGAAAAAACAAAGGGACACCTCATGTGCTGCCAGCTGACCTGATTGCCTTCACCCCTCCTGGCGTGGGGATTTTGTTTTAGCCCCCCTTTGTGCATAATTTTTTTTTTAATATTTGACTCAAATCTGCATTGAATTAGATGCTTATTTGCGAGTGACATGAACACATGAAAACAAAATATTATCCAGCTAATCACTTTAATACAAATAACAAAATTTATCTTAGACATAAGCCTGTCCTGCTTAACTTCAAACTGTAAAAATGAATAAAAAACAATAAATAAATAGTGCACATTTTTGGTGCAACAGAAAACTTCTTCAAACTTTTAAACATATTTGTGCGTTAAATTCAATGACTGTAGACTTCAGTTGTAAAATCCTCTCCACCAAACCAGTGGAAGATGGGATGCTGAGGGGCATCGCTATGTGAAGGTGCAATGCCCCCAGAAGCAGTGTCGGTATTTAAATGGCTCCGTTCGTCCCCCATCCTGCTCTGTTGTCTCCCGCTATGTTCTCCGTGAGCAAAACTTGGCTCGACCAATGGGATGAGGGGATTCTGGATCCTTACATATATGCTGTCAGCTCATTGGTCACAACGCAGGACAGGGAGGGGAACAAGTTTAGCGTAAGTTTTGTATCTAACCTGCCCTTGTTCTTCATTTACCATTAGCTTTTTACTGACTGTTTTTTACTCTCTCAGTAATACGGGATAAAGTGTGTTTCTTTTGCACTAAATACAGGAAAGGTACTTTGATTTCTAAATACGGAATGATTCCTTTTTTGAAGGGACGGTTGACAACCCTACTTGTAGTGTTACTTAAAAGCACCTTATATACACCACTCTCTCTGGGTAAGTTCTTCATTGGCAAACATTTTTTTTTATGCATGAGTAATTTTGTTGATCTCGTCATTATCAAAAAAACACACATAACAAATAATGTGGTTTACTTTGGCAATTGCACAATTTTCAATATCTACATGAGAAATAGTCCTTAGTGAAAGTTAAGAAAAGTGACAACCCCAGTTGGCACACTTGATGTTATAGAATATCATTTAGCATCTATGGTGGATCAGCGGTGTGATTCTGTTCACTGCAGGTTCGGTTGGGAGGCTGCCAAGCCCTGTATGGAAGACAAACATTCTCTTGCTTTCTGGCCCTAATATTGACGTTCTCCCTTCTCCCTCTGATGTACAAAGACTGGAGAACAATGGATTAGGTGGGCATATGTTTTCAAAACATACATAATTTCATACACCCTCATAATGTGACAGAAGGAGTTACTTTTGCTTTTAACATCTCTATTTGGGTTGTAATTCCTAATTTTACTCTTTCACCAGAGTCATCTGGTGGGCTGATGAATTTAAACTAGGGCTATCAAACGATACAAATTTTATATCAAGATCAATCGCATAATTTTACGGAAGAGGATTAGGGCCAGTGGAAGAAAAAAAAAAGTTAACGGATTTTTTAATTTTATTTCAGTTTAGTAGAGAGTCAGAATTCTGACTTTATTTTATTGTCAGAATACAGTCAGAATTCTGACTTTTTTTCCTATACTTAACTGAAATAAAATTTGAAAATCAGTTAACTTTTTTTTTTTTCCCAGTGGCCCTAATCCTCTAGCCTGGGTGCCATTCCGAACTTAGTCCCGCCCACAAAGTTTGAGATCGGGAAGTTCGGTCTGGCTCTGCTCCATAGTAGCGCGAGTATTATCGCCCACTGTCAGGCGATCCAATCAAATTGTCAGGGCGGGCTTTATACGATGATGGACAGATGACCAACAGTAACATAATCAACCACGTGACCAAAGCGCGCTTGGGTGACAACAATAATGGCTGCCTCTGGAGAGTTTAGGTGAGTAGATTCTGCTATTAGGTCTGTTCTAGAAGATATCGACAGCAAATTAATTTTAAAAGAGGAACAGAGAAACGCGATCAAGTCTCATCTTCTTATTCTAGGCGTGCAACTGCACGCATTGATTTTTGTGGACAACAACTATGCCTCGCTTAACATACGTCACGCACTCCGTTGCTCTTATTGGTTGTAGGTCTATCCAATTGAGTGCAGAGGCATTTTTTTTCCTGGTTCGTTCGAAACACGCCCCATAATCACAGCTCTATGGAGCAGTATCAGACTCATATTCTGACTAGAATTGAGTCGGACTACGTCAGGCTACTAATCCTCATCCGTATAATTTTAATAGTTAACTTGAGATCAGATGCATATTTTATCCTTTTATTTCTGAAAGTGTAATAGCCTGTTTATTTTTCAATAAATAACACTAATAAAAAACATGCTTGTACAAAACATATTTGCACAAGCACTTTTAATAATTGGAATTAAAACATCCCGGTGCCATAAAATGTTAAACTCTGGCCCATAATGGCTACATCATTAATCATGATGCCCTGATGTTGACACAATGTGCAAATTAATGTGAATTTTAAGAGCAACTTTAGAAAAAAGAAGCCCAAAGTTGCATGAAAAGCACAGTGTTGGCAACAGTGAGCATGGGTATGTTTTGCTATAGTCTCTAGCGCTCTTGAAACTACGGAAAGCACAGAGGGTTAAAAAACAGTCTGGAGAGCGGGGCGGGGAAGTTTATGTGTTAACGCCTTAAAACTGACAGCCCTAATTTAAACTTAATTGGCATGGTCTTTGGTATTGTGATTAACATTGTTTTGTCACCATTGATTATTCAGGCAACCCTGTGCATGAGGGGACCGAAACCAGGAGCTCTAAAATTAACCTGAATTGGAGCTTGTCTGAACTGAACAACTTTGTGTGT